TTGTAAGTCTAGTTTACATTGATTTTATTGTATATTATAGTATTATATTATTCTGTGTAGTATTGTGTATAGGTTTAACTTGCCACAGTTCCATTATAATGGCAATCTCCACAGATACTAGTTTGTCTGCTCTGCACTGCCGTAGCACAAAAGATGTCTGCCTCCGTGAATGTGAACAGTCTATGTTATTTATAAATATAAATAGCAATTTCTAACACAAGACTAACTATGACTTTCAGTTCATAGGTGATACAAAATGACAAGCACATAGATAACATATGACATGTATGTCAGTAAATCCCTGTAATTATTACACACTGTACTTTTACATTGATGCTATTAATTTAAAATTTTACTTCTGTCATTTTCTAAGTTTTTATCTGTACATTATTTAAATTATTAACAAACTAAATATGATCGTGTAACTTTAATATTAGGTTTTCCCTTGTAGTTTATGCTTTCCACATCTACCACCAAAATCAAAGCACTGTCATATTTTTTTTCTAAGTGACTCTTTATTCCAATATTGCCTAAATTTAAACACTGTAAGCCAATGCAAGCTCCCTTTTATTTGCTAGGGCTTCTAACGCTAATGCACTAAGCTGCCTCAGGGCTTCCGAAAGGCCTTTTCAGTGTCCCTGTATCCAAGTCAGGGTAGAACACAGTGTATGAAGGTTGTGCCGCATTGCCTCTGATGCGCTCGGCTAATGTTGGCTTTATTACAATTAGAGCCAAAGAGGGAGAAGAAAAGATGGCATACTTTATTGTCAATGTGCCCTACAAACCTAGAAAGCATTTTTTAAAACAGAAAAGGGCCCCTGTATGCCATTTCTTTTCTAAAATAAGCTCATTTAGCTGTAGTATTTTTTTTTCTCAATTCCTGAAAAAATCAGCAGAAAGGCAGCACAATAGAAGTAGAAAAAATGTTACTTTACAGGGTATAAAATTATTTGGTATAATTCTTCTTAAAAGATGTAAAATACAAATTAGATCAGATATTTACATAAATCAAATATATTCATATTCTGGAAACCTTTTGATGCTATCTGACAATTGACAGCTGACAGCTGATAATTTCCTTTTGTTAAATGCTACATTTACAGTAGTGTATTTAGTTCTATCAAAGTACTTTGAATGTAACTTTATGCTGATTTTAAAGACACTCTTTGAGTGAAGTTATGAAGAAATTCACGTCAAATTACATCAAGTTTCACTCTGTGTCTTATGGATGAGGTTATTTGGGTGTAAAATGTGAAATTGAACCCTAAAACAACCATAAAAAGAGTTTATAATACTGGTAAAATGTAGTATAACAAAAATTATTTGTACTGGTATGGGTTTGACTGCATCTTAGAGAGTTGTTTTTTTTTTTTGCAAATGCATTAAGCGACAATGAAATAAAATTTTTGAGATATGTCCCATGGTCTGGTCAGTGGCGGTTCCTGGCGTGGGTGACATGGGAAGCCACCCACTGTGGCTTTATATATAGGGTGGTGCTAACATCAGATCCCCCTGCTGCATGCACGCCCTCATGCATGTGTAAATAATATGAATAATAATATGAATCAATAGCAGAGGCATGTTACAGATTAGTGCCCCCCACTATCACAATTGACCTCCATTTATTTCCCACTAATTCTATGGTCTAACCGTGACACCTGACCTAACCCTAACCATTACCAACACATACCTAACCCTAAACCTGACCTAAAATCAATTCAAACCTTAGTTCTAAACCTTACCCCCACCCCAAGAACAGAACTTCTCCTCATGGGGACCTGTCATTGGTCATCACAAGTACCTATAAGTCCCTAAAATGTAGCATATCCCTGGGAAATTTCCCCACATGTAACAAAGACATGACCACACACACACACACACACACAGACACACACACACACACACACACACATACACAATTGAGGAGAATAATAAAACAAATAGCAAAAAATATAATTCTGACAGCAAATATTAAAGTTTGGCTTCTTTTATTGTCAAATGAGGGAACTATCTAACTGGCGTTGTTCTGCTTTTTTACAGTGTTTGCAAATCTCATTTCACTTGTACATCTAAAAGTATATTCTGTTAGCTTATGTAAGGGAGTCATAGTGGTGGTTAAAGTGTTGATTTGTTTTAAAGAAAGTAAAGCCAAGAAAGTTTCTAAACACCTGAAGAAGAAGGACAATTTAATCTGATGGAGGACAAGAAAATCAATGCTGCACAATCTGATTCTTTTCAAAAGGTACAGAACATGTCACAGTCAATTGAGGTGCTGAATCTTCGGACTCAAAGAGACTTTCAGTACATCATGAGGATGGAGAGCCAGATCAAAGGGTTGCGGTCAAAGTTCCGGCAGATCGAGTCAGACAGGAAGACCGTCGCCAACAAAAACTTTCAGGTATGTTTTTTGTTTGATCTTAAACTGTGTGAGAAACATCTTAAAGCAATTTTGCTAAAAAAAAATCTGATATGCATGAGAGCACATTAAGTTGCATCCTTAAAAAGATCATAAAAGGTTCACCTCTGGCCAAACAAGAACGTGAGACACAGTTTGACTACAGCAATTAACCTGAAAATGTTTTGATTCGTTTGATCTATAAAAGGGCAAAGAATGTTTTGCAAAGCTGACCAAGGAGAGCAGATCCCTAGAGCTGGAAATTACTCACTAAATACCTTCTATCTATTAGGTCACCTTGCTGTTGCAACTTTTGTCCAAGTTCCTACCAGTTTATTTTACCATTACTACATGGTGCAACACTTTTTCATATGTTGAGTCTGGCCTTATAGGGGTCATGAGCAGTATTAAAAAAAAAAGTTTATATCCTGTTGCATTATTATTGTCACAAATTTCAATAATCTAGGTGCAGTTTTAGGTGACAGACCAACTCAAAATAAGCAGAATAGCGGAAGAATTTAAACTGAATTTATTTCTCATCACAACCTGTACTCTAATATCAGCCATTTACATGTAGAAGTTACCTCACAAACCAATAGCCAAAGAAGTATTCATGAGGCTAAAGCTAACTCTGGAGATGCAGTAGAGATTTAATGCTCAGGTACAGAAAGAAAATCTGCCAAAAGGACAAAAGTAGCCTTTATGGAGGCTTGACAAGCATGCAAAGCCTCACAATGTATCAAATCCAAATTGCCGTTGCAATATTTGTGTGTGAAATACTGCAATGGGAAAGGATTACTTGAAGGTAACATGTGGTTGGCAAAAATTCTTCAAGGGTGATGCATTACAATTCTACGTTCTCATAATATTCTTATAAGGCCCACTAGTGGACCTCACTGTATGATATGCCCACAACTGATAAAGATGATAGCAACTGTGGTGCTAGGGTTTGATAAGAATAAAACTGACCTTTCTTGCCTGCTTGCTATTTCTGGAGGAAAATTGAGACTGCACATTACCTTTAACACACCATACCCACTTGATTGGAATCGCATCATGCCAAGGCAAGGCTTTTTCTTAGCAGGAAAAGGGGCATTGTTCAACTGGATTATTTCTTGCCTTCAGGCTGAAAGATTACACTTAAAGTCATGTTTTACTTATATTACCTATAGATGTTTTACCTATATAGTGCTAATTGAAATCACCCATCAACTCTTCAAACACAATTCAATCAAAATCATACGGACAGATTGGCTTAAAGTTTTCTATCCACAGAAAACTAGCTGATTTAATTCAATCATTGAGTTTGCAGGATTCGCTCCTGGATGATTATGTCACCACAGCAGACATTCGCCTGAATCGTGTCGTTAACTTTGCTACCATCTCTTACACTGAGCATTCATGCAGTGACAATGGAGAGGAAAAGCTGTCTTCTAACAGAAAGAAACCAACAGCAGAACCAGGCTCAGTGTCAGCAGCCTTTGCCAAGACTCATTAGGGTTCAAAGAAGACAGAAGCAGACACACAAAATTAATAAGTGGGTCTCACATCACAATTTTTGTTCTTATTGTGCTTTATGTTATGCTGTGCTTTAGATTTTAACAAAAGTGTGATGCAGTTTTTAGAAAGTATTTAAAGAACATTGTCTGGAGAAAAAAATATGAACTTATTGGTACAATAGCACAAGTTCACATAGTTTGCACACTATATAATGTCCGCTAAGAATATATATAATTATTGAGTTCCTTTTATCATATTCAGTATATAATACAACCTTTAATATAACCTTTATAAGATTTGTTGTTACATGAATATTGCCAGTGCACAATCAGAGATATGGATGGCTTTAGGATTTTTGTTTTCAAAGGTGGAAAACACACAGTGTCACCATGATAAGCTGCACAAGTACAGCAATAGCTTATGCTGGTGCGCGGTGGTGGACAGCAGGAGTAAGAGGAACATTCAGGTACAATTTGAGAGCACAAAACAAGCTCATCTTCTTGACATTCAGATTTGGATCACAGAAATCATCTAAATGAAATGACAGAACACACTTTTCAGAGTTTTACTTTGAATAGTTTGAAAACCTAATTTGTTCTTTCACTTCACAATAATGCACAACTTGTACTGTACTGGTTTATGAAACTCCAAAGTTTAGGGTTGTAAAAAAGGAAAATATGAAACGTTTTATTACTGCATCGTCCTATTCAAAATCAATCTGCAGTTATATGGTGTATAAATTTGAAACCAGCTCAGATTCAAGCGTTAGAAGGAACCAAATTGATAGCAGAAACGCATCTGTTAACATAACTATGACAACAACAGCAATATCATTTAGATTGATTCTACCTGAATTAACTCAAAGCAATTTAAAGCAGGTCCATCTTAATGGAATAGAACTATTAGCTGTAGGATGACCGTTAGTTTCCTTATATCTTGGTTCTATGTTAGATATATCATGTACTTGGAAATGAAAGTTTCTAAACATTTGCTTAATTTTCAATCGGATTTGACAAGAAATATGGTAAAATTTGCCTTTTATACAAAATAAAACAGATAAGCATAAAAAACACATTTAAAAAAAGGGTTAGGGTACAGTTCTAACGAAATTAATAAAGACTATTTAGTTCTTTGCTTTAATACAATTTCAGGAGCTGAAGGGGAAGATGGAATCCCTGCAGCCACTTATCCCCGTCCTGGAGCAGTACAAGACAGATGCCAAGCTAATCTCCCTGTTCAAAGAAGAGATCAGAAACCTGTCCAGTGTGTTAATGGGAATCCAGGAAGAAATGGGTGCCTATGACTATGAGGAGCTGCAGCAGAGAGTCCTGAACTTGGAAAACAGGCTCCACAGCTGTATGAACAAACTCAGTGAGTCTTTCAGATCAATGACAAAAACAAACAACATAACTGGCACATTTGCTGTTGGTGCAAGCAGATTGGCTTTCTAACTTGAAGGCCAATCTACAACCAGAGTCAAAAAGAGTTAAATTGATTGAGAAAAGCCTCGTTTGGAGTCACAGGGCATTTTCTTCACTGTCAAATTTTTTAAGCTTTTTTCATAGCATTTAAAATGACATGAAAATCCCAGTTTTATTCCAAGTGAAGAAAATAAAATGTTGCTTAAGAGTATAACTCTTTTTTTAGTTTTGCAGCTGATTCATAAGAATATGTGATTATATTTCTCCAGCCGCTCAGATTTAACTGAGCTTATGACATCAGTTCTGCCTCCAGAGCAGCCTTGTCCTTTGTTTAAAAGCTCGCAAAAGCAGATAAACAATTTTTCACCATTGATATTTTGGTTGGGACGAGGCATGTTTTAGTTTTGAGATAAATAACTAATTAGCGTATCTTAACAGAAAATGTGTTAAAGATTAAAAAATAACATTTTGCTAATTCGGGACTTAAGTGTGTGGTTGTTTGTTAAAAACCACTTAATTAGAATAAAAAAAAATAGGGTGGGATCTAAGCTTATGTACAAGTGTTGCCTTTGTGCATTTAGAAGGATTAGTATCTAGCCACATGGAATTCTGTACAACTCAGAGCATCTAATCTAGTAAGTCCTTAAAGGCAAATGTTTGCCTGGGTCCAGACAGACAGGGTGTACAGTAGTTACTACAGCACATTTTGTTTTACCTTGTCCTTGTATTTCTTTAGAAATGCAGGCTGCTGTGTTGGCAGTGCCCAGAAGATATCTAGGATTCACTATTTTATTGCTGCCAGCACTTTGAGTTGTGTTCCAGTCATAACAAGAAATCACAATTGATGAAAACTGTGTGATATGTTTTCAGCATGTGGCAAGCTGATGAAGATCACTGGGCCACAGACAGTAAAGACGTCAGGGACCAGATTTGGTGCTTGGATGACTGATCCAGTAGCTTCTCCAAAAAACAACAGAGTAAGTTGATATGCATACTATGATCCTTTTGTTGTAGGTTTCTCTTTCTGTATTGGTTGTCATGTTGTCCATGTGGTTTACTTTGTGCTAGATGGTTTTCCCATACTCTGCTAACATTGCTGCTTTTATACTGAAAGGCGTTGCCACATACTAGGTTTACTCCTTTCTGTTGTCTATCACAGTTTATTCCTGTATTTAGTTTCCTATGTATTCCGTTTTATTCCCAATAGTGTATGTCCCTTTTCTATACCTGTATGCCTTTGTTTAGCTCATCTGTGTTAATTAGTCTTCCGTCCTCAGCCTCTATCCTTATCCTCTGGCTCAGCCGGTGCTTATTTCCTCTTACTAACAGAAAGGTTTTCACTGTCATATTTTTGACTTCCCTCAGTATAAAGTCAATGTAAGCCACAGTTTCCTGTTGGATCCTAACTTTTCCATACCTGTTTCTTCTATGTTGCTTTTACTGTTGCTGTCCGTGTTCCATTAGTCATGGTTTTTGGTATGTGTATTTTTGTTTTACTACTGCATTTTTTTTTTTTTATAATTTGCTTTGGCTATATTTAAAGATCTTTTTTTTTGGTGTGTAATATGTTTCTGTGTAGTGAAAATGATATGTCTATAACCTAATTAGTAATATCTCCACTAAGGTCTCGTGATAAGTGTGTTGTTTTCTTCCACTCTATGTGCTGTTTAGTAGGTTCTGTTTGGTTCACTCGTCATGGGAGAATATTGTTTTTATGCAATGCCATGCCGCTCTACAGAAAAGAAATCTATTATACTCACTGAACCATCTCCCTACTTGCCTGCTTTTGGTTCTATGTTCGCTCTATAGAACCTCCACCATGACATCATATGTTAAATTTCCTATGTTCTGAGGTTTTGGTTTTAATGTTTCTAAGTCTTTCAATTCATCATGCTGATGCCACATCACTATCTGGACTGTTGGATGCACAGGATATCAATTGTTGACATAAAGTCACATAGATAATACAAAAAAAGTATTTAGGTGTCAAGTTTAAAATCTGAAATCTCTTCAGAGGCACAGTAGTCCAACTCTTTCTAATTAGTTAAAATAATAATGTAGAATTATACTTTTAGTTTAAAGGTTCACAAGAAATTAAAGGTTCACATTGCTGCAAAAATAAAGTATGATATAAAAATGGCTTTATTAGGCAGAGACTAGCTGTGATGAGGAAAATAATATCCTTATGTGCCATTTTGTGGTGTGTGTCATTATGACGCCTCAAAAAAATCCTGATCCAAGCGGTGCTGGAAGGCAGGTTTATTACAGCAGGTTTATTCTGGATGTTCAGAAGACAGCAATGTACTGTAATTACTTTCAAGATCAAACCAAATATGCATTGTTTCCATGTTTCAACATTTGTTACCTTGATTTTTTTATTTGTGTCTTTACTTAACACACCCGCATGTTATGCATACCTCAACCTTGAGATGTAAAAAATGGGAGACTTTGCAGTTTTGTCCCAAGACAACAAATCAAATCACTAAGCCATACTTTTTCGGGGAGTAGTTAATTTTATTTACTTAAGTGCCCACCTGATTTCACCTTGTCCCACATACCAGGTGTCATTTGAACAAGATAAGCAACTTCTTGCTACTGTGTTTACAGCGGCACTGTTTAGTTTAGGATTTTAAACTTATTAATACTGATATAAACTAATTTTACAGTGGCAAATAAAGGTCAAATATGCATGTTTACAAGGGAATAAACAATTTGTCAGGCCATACTGTATCTACAAAGACACCAGCAGTAGGTCATATATTACTTTAGACAGGGCTTCCTCAGTTATGACCTTGAGGGCTGATATTCTGCACCTTTAAATATGTTTCAGCTTAAAGACATCTGAGTAAAATAATTAGGTCAGTAGCAGGACTTTGAATAAATTAAATGCACACTGAGGAGATAATTCAGTGATTTGATTCAGGTGTGGAAGGTCAATTTCACTCAATTTATAACATATCTGTAAACTCTTGAGATTAAAGGGCATTGGTGATCATTACATCAATGCTTTCCCTATTTTAGAAAGACATAGTGTTGTCCCGCCTCTTGCTTTTCTTCCTTTTTCAGGTTGTAACTTTTACATCAAAATGTTAGCTCTTTTCTAAAGTGATGGTTGTGGGCTTTGGGAAACCTCAATACGGTTACCAAATTGTCCCAATGTGGATCTCTGCACCACCCCCACAGTTATCACTGGCATATTAGCTGCTTCTCTGAGTAAGGTTAATCTGATTTAACCACTCAACAACAATCCACCTGACCTATCTGCTCTCTGTGTTGATCTTAATAATGCTTCTTTGTTCACTGATGTTCTCCAACAAACCTTTCTGAGGGATGTATACTTGAAGTAGAGGCAACAGAGGATAGAGTCAATCAGTGTGTAATTTAGCAGTTGGTGGATTTCTGAAGACAACTGGTTACACTACATAGGTATAGGCTTGAATCCAGTTGTAGGTATTTATGTTAGATTATCATAAAATAATAAAAGCAAATCACACTGAGGTTGTTGAAATGCAGCAAAGTACCTAATGGTATGTTCACATCAAACATGTTTTAAGTGTCAGGGCATCTGGTTAACATGCAAAGTCTAAGAGTAGTGTCCATGACTTAAGTGTTAGGAAAGGCGACTCATGCAGCATTCTGGTACCTGCACTTTTCACCACAAACCTATAAAACACTTTATATGAACATTCTGCCTCTATGGAGAGCAGCAGGAAATCCCAGACAACCTGGCTGGCTTTAGAGAGCTTTCAATGAGGATTCCAAACACTGTCTTTTGCTGGTATGTGGCGTCCTTCACTCTGAACAAGAACAGAATATTTAAGTAGGATCATTCTTTAATCCTAATAGAAATAGAAATGTCATGAGAGCTGTACAAAATGAAATTTCATTTGTGTGTACACTCTGTGACAATAAAATTTGTCTAAGTCTAAAACTGACTGTACAGATTATGTTGTGACATCTGCTTCCTAGCTTAAAAACATCTTAAAACTACTTTTTCCCCCCAACTAATCAAAGTAAATAAGTCCAAGCAACTCTCTGTTACAAGGAAAAGAACAGCAGCTCAATGCCTGCAGCACCAAGTATTTGGAGCATTGAATATCCAGTGCCCAGGTCATACAGCATCCACAGCATCCAGTGTCCAGTTTTTAGAGCGTTTGACATTAAAATGCCCATGCATCCAATCTGAGGTTTTGTATACTTTTTCGACACTAAAAAAACTTTTTATGTGAATGCACCATAAAGGTACGTACAAGGAATTTGCACACTTTATAAGACACTGTAAACAAACATTTTACAGCTTTATAGAAATTCAAAAACTGAAGGAATCAATATTTCTTTTTCTGCCTACGTGTAAAAAATTTGACTTATGAATACAAAATGGCTGATATATGAAAAGGTTGGTTTCTAGGTTTTACAATACATGGCTAAATCCATCAAAAAATATATTTTCAAAAATGTCTTGTAAGAAATATCTCAAACGTAACCACCCTTATGTTCCCAATTGTAAGCATTATAAGAGGTTTTTTTCTATATCTATCTGCAGGTTTGGTACATGGACAGCTACACCAACAATAAGATAGTGAAAGAATACAAATCCATCCATGACTTTGTGGCAGGAGTTGAATCCAGAACCTACAACTTGCCTTTCAAATGGGCTGGAACCAACCACGTGGTCTACAACGGATCTCTGTACTACAACAAGATGCAAAGCAACATCATTGTCAGGTACAGCTTTGAGACTGGCCGTGTTATAACACAGAGGGCACTGGAGTCAGCAGGCTTCCACAATGTGTACCCATACACATGGGGAGGCTTTTCAGACATTGACCTGATGGCTGATGAGTTGGGTCTGTGGGCTGTGTATGCAACCAACCAGAATGCTGGGAACATTGTCATTAGCCGGCTAAACCCAGACACCCTCCAGATCCTTGACACATGGAACACAGAATACTCCAAGAGGAATGCGGGTGAGTCTTTCATGATCTGTGGGACTCTCTACATTACCAACTCTCACCTGACTGGTGCAAAAGTGTACTATGCCTACTCAACTAAAACATCCACATATGAGTATACAGACATTCCCTTCCATAACCAGTACTTCCATATGTCCATGCTGGACTACAATGCAAGGGATCGTGCTCTTTATGGCTGGAATAATGGCCACCAGGTTCTGTTTAATGTCACACTATTTCACATTATTAAAACAGAGGATGACTCTTAAAGACACTGTTCTCCCATCTATGAATGAAAGAAAGCATTAAAAACGGGAAGGTTGTGCCTAAACATAAACAGATTGTTTATTTTTGTTTGTTTTTTTTATTGTCCCGATTGCTTTACTCTTTATGCCTTTATTTATCTAACCTGTTTAAATATGAAACTTTTTTATTGCTGTGTACTATTTTTTTTTTCTGATATAGGACAGTCCATAAAAAATCATTAACGCTTTTTGACACCCAAAAAATTATTCAAGCAGTATATTTCTCTCTGCAAGTGATGTTTGTTTTTGAAAGAATTTAGTGTTATTTATAATTATCCTCTCAAATCACAGTTATTTATCCCTGTTAGTTTAATCAAATTTTTGACTGTGGTCATTAATTGTTTCATTCTTTCCTTCCCATTAATTTATTATGCCAACATAAATCATTCCTGCTTTTCACTGCCTGCATAAAATTTCATATTTTTTCCCCATCCCAGCTTTTGCACTTGATCTTTTTAAAGAACATAGAAAATGTGGGGAGGGACCATAATACACCTGTACAGTACTTAGCTGTTTTTGTGTTTATGTAGGGATAATGCAGCAATCACGGTCACTGGATATCTTGAAGCAGTGAGTCAAAGTACTTAAGGAACACTAATATTGGACTGCCTTTAACTTAGTACTCTGAGACATTAGTTTTTTTCTAACTTTAGCAGCAGTTTGTATGCCTTATTCTGTGTAGTATCTTCTGTAAGCCAAAGGATAACACTCTTGTGCATGAATGTTGGCTATCCTGAGGGCTTTTTACTGTATTTGTGTGTATTTTGTATTTGAAAAACTGTATTCTCATCAATTATAGCTGTACTTGCCACAATCCATTATTACAATCTTCAGTAATTCCCTTTCTCATGTATTTGTTTGTGTAAATATGATGGTATGTAAACACAAATAAAAATATTGTTTTCATTAGGAAAGTGATGTATTTATTTTCTTAGCCCACTAGAAATTTGGTTAATTTCTTTAAAACCCTTATTCCAACTTTTGTCAGCGATTGATGCAACTCTAAAAAAAAATATCTGAATCAATTCAATTCAGTTTATTTATATAGAGCCAATTCACAACACTTGTCATCTCAAGATACTTTACAGAGACAATTCAGTCCAATTGATTAAAAGTTTCTGTCAGTTAAAACCAGGTGATTGCATCGAGTCATCAAACTGCAAGGGATGCTCTTTCTTTGAAATCTTTTAAATTGTTTTTTTTTCTAGCATTTTGTGGTATATTTCATATGCTTTTTTTTTATTTTCTTTTTTTGTTTCCTCCCGATTTGTTCTTTATATATGATCTCTAAAATTCGCACAAAATAATGGAGTAGCTCTTTCTATCTAATTCCATTACCTCTTCTACACCTATTCAAACTCAGCGGCAACATCTAAAACCAGGTGTGTTGACAAATTAGTGACGTTGTTGTCATATTTAAAGTGTAATCAGACTAGAATAATGACTCTTTCAAAAGTACGTGCAAAGAAGCTGACAAAAAAAAAATGACCTCTCTGGTGTTATTGAAGACTTTATATGAAGTTTAACAACATAATGCTGTTATGCTTTTAGGCAAACACTCTTTGTAAAAATCCCCCAACATAACACCACCCCCTCCCGACACACACATACATCCATAATAATCTTCCTATGTCTAGTGAGGACAATGTGTTTATTTCCATCAGCCCACACTGATTTTCTATCTTTTTCAACCCTTTTTGTGCCCTAACCCTGATAATCATCCCAACTTATGTTGTTGTTTATTAAGATCTAAGTTATCAAAGTGAATACACAGATATTGGTAAGAAAAGATCTAAACCCCATATAATTTAATTTTAACTTTTGGAAAAGTAAGATATGGATGGAAAGGATCGTGAGAAAGGGACAGGGGATAAGAATCAACGGGAGATAGATAGACTCAAGACAAAAAAGAGAGAGGAGCAAATAGAAAATAGAGAAATCAAAACAACAGAATAAAATGGCAAATATAAACAATGTGGTTCCTAGAAGTCGCTTCCACACCCGCATGAGAAAAGAGGAAAAGAAAACAGAACAAAACAAAAGCAAAGGGAAAACAAAAGACAACAAAAGTAAACATCAAAAAAGCATTAAGGGCAATGGGTATCCATTAGGTACCCAGTCAGTATATGAGTGTAGACAGTAATCGTATTTGTACTTGTCTTTTGCTTCATCCGGAACCGGGTCATGTGGGCAGCAGTCACAGTAGACTCCCAGGCTTCCCTATCCGCAGACATCTTCTCCAGCTCTGCTGGGGAAGCTTGAGGTGCTCCCAGGCCAGCCGAGAGACATAGTCCCTCCAGAATGTACTGGGTCATCCCCTTGACCTCCTCCAGGTGGGACATGCCTGAAAACCCCTCATGAGGGAGGCATCCAGGGGGGGCATCCGAAAAAGAGGCCCAAGCCACCAAAGCTGATTCCTGGAGGAGAAGTGGCTCTACTCTGAGCTTTTCCCGAATGACTGAGCTCCTCATCTCATCTCTAAGGGAGTGCCCTGCCATCCTGCAGAGAAAGCAGATTTCAGCCGCTTGTATCTGGGATGTTGTTCTGTCGGTCAATATCCAGGTTTCATTACCATTGAGACAGGAAGAGGTCCTGCAAGGGGATCCTACAGCCTCATGCATGTAACAATTTCCTGCACTCGTCTTCCCTCATTCATGACCAACACCCCAAGATACTTGAATTATACATGGACACAGTTCAATGGCACAGGCAATAGCCACTCCATGGCACTTGCAAACAAGCCGCTCACACCAGACAAGTTATTCAACCTGCTGAAATGTAAGTTTGTAAGGCGAAGTTGGAGGTGAAGGTCTGGCTCTCTGTCTCCGCTCTAATTTATGCTTAACACCACTGCATCTGGCGCTTCGCATTGCACTTGGTGATGTACGACTTGGATGCTGCTGCTTAGCCTTCAAAAGCAATTACATTAAAGATTTGCATGCTGTTCTTGGCTAATCTTAAGGTCAGATGAAGTTTGGAGGTGTGCAGTGATTGACTCTGCAGAAAGTGGGCAACCTCTTTTCACTATGCTCTTTAGCATCTGCTGACCCTGCTTTGTCAGTTTACGTGGTTTACCATCTTGTGGCGGATTTGCTGCCATTCCTTAACACAGCTCACAGTTGACTGTGGAATAATTAGGAGGGAGGAAATTTCATTAATTGATTTGTTGCGCTGGTGGCATCCTATCGCAGTTGTTGGCTGGAACTCACTGAACTCCTGAGAGTGACCAGTTCTTTCACAATTGTTTATAGCAGCAGTCTGTAAGCCTAGGTGCTTGATTTTAAAAACCGGTGGCCATGGAAGTGATCAGGATACCTGATTACAATAATCTGCATGGGTGAGCAAATACAAATACTGTCCACAAAGAATTTTTTTAATTTTTTTTTGCAGAAAACAGACCTGTTGTACCTTAATCTCTTACGGCTGGATGCAGAAACTCCTCTCTGTGTCAGATCAATGCATGCCAGTCAGACCGGAAGCATCAAAAAGGTCAAATAAGCCTGCATGGGTCTACACCATAGGAAGCACAGACAAGTATAGATCTCATGAGATATTGATGTCTTGAGGGCACAGATGTCAGCAGACATGAGGGAAGACAGCCTGTGCCCGGTAAAATCTTTCTGGGAAATTATTACAAAATGGAGTTTACTTACTTACACTAAACCGTGTTGTGAAATTTTTTTTCTTTGCTTAGCTTTTTTTTTTCTGTTTTTGCTTTACTGTCATGTGTTTTAGATAATCAAAAAAATTTTTATGTTGTTATTAATTTATCCTTTTCTATCCATATTCCTTTTCTTTCACCCTCAGGTTTTAATGACTTAGAGTAATGCTGAGGTTGTGTCCGAACATCGAGCCTAACCCCTCATTCACTATATAGAGTGGGGACTATTTAGGGGACTGTAGAGTGAACTCAGCTAACTGACCGTTTGGACAGATAAGCACTACTTTTCACTCCCCGTTGGTCACCTGACTCAAGGTCCTGACCAAGAAAAAGTGAAAATAACATCAACATGTTAGCAGGATTCATCCACACTATCTACCCAGGTGCAACAATCAGACTCCTGTGCCATAGCCAGCAACCGAGTGGAATCGTCCACAGCAGGATAGAGTATAGAGCATGGGTATGAACATATCTGACATTGCCATCTTCTAAATCTTTTTTTTTAGCCAATGTACCATTTCTCCAACAAGTGGTAGTTTAATTTACCATTATTTTTATGTTTAAAAAGCTGAGGAATTTTTAACCTACATGTCTCATCAAATAATTTTGATGAGACATTTTTTAACATTTTATTAATAAATAAAACTAAAAGTTGTTGTGGTATAATCATGGGACCCTGAGATGTTCTTTATTTAAAGACTTCTTACCTGTATAGAGGGAAGTATAGAGGGAAATAACCTCCGAAGGACATTTGAATGACCCAGCTTTCCATCAGCATTCAAAGCGAAACTTAATATAAGTGCTGGTAATTGGTAGTCTAAGGGTTTAACAGGCAATTGAGTGATTATCCCCTTTTGGTTTGGGTCAGAAATCAACCCTTTCTAGCGTCCAAGCTACTGACCCAGTGGCAGTCTCATGGCCCTGTTCTTGTCCTTGAGTCAAGATGAACAGCTTTACAGCAGCCCAATGTGAGGCCTCTCAACCTATTCTCATTATGAGTGCGTATGAAATCGTACGAAAAGTTATGCACCGTAATTTCATATGTTTTGGACATTTTTTTCGTGGTATGCGCATGCACATCTGACGCACCATTCACGAATATAGAATATAAATTACAATTAGCCCTAACCCTGACCCTGACCCTAACCCTAAGATATGAAACAGTAGGCAACGTAGTTAGAGACATGAATAAGTGATTATTGCACTGTTTTTCCCAGTTTTACGTCCATCCGTGGATCGGCTTTTTTTTTTCTGTCTGCCAGCGCATGCGCACTGATGTGGTTTTTTGAGGAAAAACGTCCAAAACGTACGAAATAGTTTGCATAACTTTTCGAACCATTTCATACGCACTGATAATGAGAATATGTTGGGCCTCTTGTATTAAAAGCCAAACCCCTCGTGCTGGACTACCCAATGACGATAATAGAACAGTTTTTTTTACTAGGCACCCAAAGTGAATTGTAGAGGTGATGTTGTTTAATGGACATCTAGTGGTGGAAATTCCACAGGGATGTAAGTTCAAATGATGATTGTGTCTCACCTTATACCAGCCCAATTACATGTCTCACCTCATGTCCCGTCAAT